AGATTCAGATTTGAAATTTATCAACAAATGATGAGACTTTTCCACCATATTTTTCGGGTCTCTTTTTAGATTTTTCAAGCAGTTAGAACTCCTCAGCCAATTTTTGCTTTTTTTTTTGTGCGAAAAATTTATTCTTTTTGAGTAGTTTTGTGCAAATCTTGCTTATATTCTGCTCGCTAATGTTTTCTTGTTTCTGCATAAACAGTTTTTCCACTTCTTTAGCGTAAATAAAAAACGAGAAAAAAAACGAATGAACACCTTTCTTCGCTGACGGTTTGTGTCTTTTTTTTCAGATATTTGTTTTGGCAGGGTGCAATTGTGCATGTATTTTGTAAGCACTGGAGAGTGTGAGGAACAAAGCATTGGAAAGGGAGCTGAGCTATGCTTCTCAATTACTACTTCTTTTGCCTTTCAAACAATTATTTTTGTCTCACTGAACACTTTTTTGTTTTGCACATATTTTTTTAATTTTATGCTTCAGCAGTTTTTTCTTAGACAAAAAGATTTTCTAAATTTCTTCCAATTTCGGGCAAAAATACCAAGATAGCCAGGACAATCAGTATGGGTATCCCATGTTAGTAATGTTACTGGAATGCTCCCAGCGCAGCTGTGCCAGGCCTTTCACTTCTGAATTTACGAAAAAATAAATTTTTAAGAGCAAAAACCAACTTCTCAGAACCCGCATCAAAAGTCTTTCGAAGTGCTAGTGTGTGGGAAAAGCTTTCACAAATATGAATCTGTCCGGCTCATCTTTGCCTCTGTATATAGGTGGTCTTGAAAAGTTTAAGAAATTGTGAGTGAAAAACGCCAAATGCACTCAATTTTGGGTCATTAGTTGAGGGAAGGGCTCAAAAACAATGAGCGTTTGTGATGAAGTTGCCGAAACTCTGTAGGCTGGACTATTAAATTTAGTAGCCACTGTCCAGGAGCAGGTGAGTTTACTGGCCACTTCTTTTTCCTGATTTTTTTCAGTTCCTTTCTCTATTTCAGCTTCTTATTTGTAGCATATGGTTTTTGACTCATTTTGCTGCTCTCTTGGCCAAATTTAGTACATTAAAACTTCGAAAAATTTCTACTTGAAACTGTTTTTTATATATTTCGATCATATAAAATGGTGTCAGATATCCCTGCTTTCATGCTGAGTGTTAAGGGCGCCAGCTTAATAATCAGGTTCTCTAAGATTCCTCATTCAGTTCAGTAGCAAGTTGGTACTTGGATATAACAGTAAGCCAGACCAACCATGGTGCTTGTTTATTGGTAACTCTCGGAAGAAAAAATCGTCGATGACCTCATCACCGGATGGTTGTTATCTAACACTTACTACCATTCGGACAACTTCCGAGTGCTTAAACCTCTCGTACAGGATGAATTCAAATTCAAATAGATGTTTTGGCAAAAACGCTAAAGCGGTACCCACCAAGTATTGGATACGTCACCGTTAAATCACTTGATTTACCCTTCACATAGTTTTACGTGAGACTGCAAATCAAGTTTTTCCCGAAGGGAGGACTTTTTTATGCATTCTTGCACCGGTGATGTAAATACGTTGGTTAAAGTAGTTCATGCGGTTAAGGCAGTGAATAAAATTTTGCACGTGTTTTTTAGGCAATTTTTTCAGTGCAGGTGAGGCGGATTAAAAAATGTAAATCTTGGTCCAGCTCTTTAAATTAGCTGCTCCAGATATTTTTTTGTTTGCAGATATTTTCATTTTTTCGAACGGCAGATGAAGAGATGTTAATTTTTGCGCATTTTTTAAAATTTGCCCTAGTCCCACTTCTCAAAATGATAATTTAGGAAATACTCCTAAGCCGGTCAAGTTTTGTGGTCCACCATTTTGTGCAGCAAAAGTTTTCAACTCTGTGCAACTGCTTAGTACCGTTCTTTTCGTCCCAGTAGTTTCAACAACTACTTAGGGCGAGGATGACACTTGCTCTCACCTGGATACTACTCCCCAAAAAAAACATTATTCCTTTATTGCCGATTCATCGATTTCACATTTAAACACACAGGCACTTCAAATGATGGGATTATTTTGCCACTTCAAAGTGTTCCAAGTTGCACCAGCTTCTTTCCAGCCACCGTCTTAGCTCTCTCTTCCTTACCTCAGTCCTCCGCCCTCTTTTCCCTCATTCATTGCAAATATTATTGTTTGTCCAGGCGTGTCTAGTTTGCTGTTCTACTAGAAGTGGCTAAAAAATATTAAGGTTCCGGTTGTACAGCGGTGATTCCTGGCTTCTCCTCCATTTTGCTTCTTAAAAAACAGCTTAAGCAAAAAATACGGCTACCTCTGTAGTACTACATTAGTATTTATAAGGTACAGCTGCTCGTAATAAGCATTATACGGCAAAATTAATATTACTAAAATGGACTAAAGCTCATACCGATTGACCGGATGACTTTGGCATTCTTGAAAATTGCGATTTCTGGTACTTTTCATGCCATTCTTATGTATTTTTCACTTTAAGACAAGTAATACAAACACACGGACAATTTTCCTAGAGTACCTATACCGATTGTCCGAGCGATCCAGTTTTGGCATTTGTTATTCCTTATACTTTTCCTATCTTTATCATTTAATCTCTAGTCCGAGTAAATGATACGAACAAAGTAAAAAGTTCTCCTGAAATACTCACACTTTCTGTCCGGCGGTCTTGGTATTTTCGGTAATTTACATTTTCTGGAAGCTTCATCAATTACCTCTTAATCTGAGATAAATGCAGAAAGGTTTTCTCGGAGCACCCAAGCCATTTATTCGGGCAGTCATGATATTTCTGATACTTGATATTTTCGATGCTTTTCGTGCCTCTATCATTTATTCCTCAGTCTGAGTTGAATGGCACGAATACACAAAGACTTCTCCTGTTGTTTTTGCGTAGAAAAACCGGTAACGACAAGCAAAGTAAGAATCACTATGGATTTTTCCAGATTTATTATTGTCACTGTTCCAATAGATGATTGTTGATAGATTTTGGGCCGAACTTTTTCGGCTCTCCGTGGACCGAACGCAATGGGACATCCTGCATCCATCGTTGCTTTCCATCACAGTTCTCGAAGTTCCGTCTCGAAAGAGTGGCACCAATGGCAAAGCTATTCAGTTCATTGCGAAAAGTGAAACCAGAATCGTTAGCGAACAAATACTGGAAACATGTAAGTTTTGGTTTCTGCACGGTCTTGTTATTTTTCACAGTTATGAGGATTCATTTGCATATATGCAAATTTAAGTGCCAAAGACTGGAAGTTAAAACATTTTCCTGTTCGTTCTTCATAAGAGGCAAAAGCACTTCGAAGTATTCCGAGGGGTAGCAAATGTTAACAACTATCCTCTGATCTCTCGATGGCTTCCCCTCTGTCGAGATTTGCTTACAAATAAACTAGTGGTGTTTTGATTAACAAATGTTGGAATGTGTTCTTGTACTCAGATAGAGTGCGCCCATCGAAATTACTTCGGAATCCGGATCGTTGTTCGCATTTTATTCTTTGAAGGACGTGGAATCATTTGTTTCTTGCATACAAATGGCATCAGCGTGAACCACTACTACCGGAACCTTAGAAGGGATAGACTTCGCAAATCCTGGTAGTTCAGATTCGAGGTATTGGGGCTTTTGTCAGTTCTGCAGCCGCAGTTCTGCAGCAGATTGCTTTTCACTCCCAGATTTATAGAGGATTGTGGATAAGGTTTTCAAAACAGCAGTTTTTCAAACAGCGAAAAATAAATGTGATCCTCAAAATTCAGACTTAAAAGAGGCCGAAAGCTACTTGCTAAAAAGACCTAATTTATCTTTTCGGATGACTTTGAAAGATCGCCCGAAGCGCAAAACATGAAAAATTGCACTGCAAATATTCGATAACTTTAATCTTTTATAGTTTGTCCGTCTGCTGTTCCATCGTAGCGTTCCTCCTCGATATTCGCATAGCTAGCAATTTTTCCATTCTTCTACCTTTTATAGCCCTTTCATCCACTAAATTCTGTGAGGTTCAAGCAAAACTTTTCATCGCATTGATCGCTTCCCTGCTTTCTCTAGACATTGCGTAGGTACCATTCAGTAATCTGCATTTTCCATCTGTTGTTTCTCATTCTTGTTACGTGACGTCAAATTGCCCAGTTAACATTGTTTATGCCAAAGTGGACATGATCCAGATTTATTAAAAATGTGTTCCTAAATCGTTCATATCTAACCCACATCGCATTCCATAGTTCAGTTGCTTACTGCTAACTTTTTCTGCCCGGCAAGCATGATATTCCATGTTTCACTTTCATAAATGGTGATACATAATGATGTTCTGTAAAGTCGTCATTACCCGAATTGACAGAAATTTACGGGTAGACACTCTACCGTAGTTTAGAAAGCTGGTGTCTCTTTCAATCGAAAAGCACACATCAACTACTGTTGCAGTACTAAAATTAGCTGCCTCGTAAAAAAACCTTGGCTGTAGCTATTTTTTATCTCCAGAAGATTGTGTAAAAGAATGAGCTAGTGTTCTGCAGGCAAAAAACCTGCCGTACGGGTAGCTGCCACTCTTTTGTGATGGATGAATTAGAATAGCTGGAGGATGTAGTACATCTTAAGAAACCCTGACCTGCGTAATGCTCATCAATAAAATTGAAAGCACCAGACAAAAATTCGGACAGCTTCAGTGACCCTAATCTGTTATTTTTTTTTTTGGGAACAAGACCGCCCAGGTATCAATATAGGTATCCCAACTTAGTGATGTTACCGGCTATGCCAGATCCTTTGATGTTGGAAAGCATACCCCCAGTTAGCACCCACCATCTGTTTAATATGTGTACGCCACCATTTCGAAAGTCGCCCGAGTGGTCGTTTACTTTCTCGCGGGTATTTTTTGTTTTTATGAAAATACCAATACATTTTTGACATCCTCAAAAAATAAGAGACTTTACCGGATTTTTTTCAAACGAAAGTAAAAATAATAAAAGTATGCTCATTTTGAAAATTATTGACAAATATACGTATTAATTTTATATGAATCGAATGGGATCTAAAGGCCTAATGCGCTGCTCCTGACTTTTGGAAGCGTCACAATTATATTACTCTAGCATGAGATCTTCGTACCGATTGTCTGAGTAAT